CTATATTTATTTTATTCTTATATAATGGTTGGTTGTCATCATCAAAAAGGGGGAGATTGTTAGCCCTTATGTTTTGATGATGTTTTACAACCACCATTATCGGTACTAATTGCTTGTTAAGTGATAATTCAAGCATGTTAGTGCCACAAATGGAGGATTGGATGGAATATGCGCTACAACGATGATATCCAAAGGAGGAGGAGGCATAGTGATGAAGCAACGTTATTTCAAAAACACCAAATTCAATTAGAAGCTTCATCCAACTCAAGCTATATCAAGACTCAAGAATTGTATTCTCGTGAGGATATTAGCTAGTTTTTATTTTCTCTCTAGTGCTAAAATGTAGGCAAATAGTTTAGATTTCATCTAAAGCTATTGGAATATCAACACACACGTTTTCATACTTATAGTTTTAAACGCATTTCACAAAATACTATTTTTCATAAGTATGAGGACCTATTTAAAAAATTCATTTTCCAAACAATTTGTTTTTAGTATTAAAAACATTTTACAAAGTTTCACAATTTTCAGAGGTCAAATGAATATTTTACAAATATTTTAAGTGAGTTGAAAATCAGGTTTTGAGTGTATCAGATCCCGGTCGACCACCACGGTTGACCGCGCCTAAGCTCACTCGTCAGTGGCAAACAGAAACTTTCACGGTCGACCGCCGCGGTCGACCGTGAGCTAAAAATTTCCCATGGTCGACCGCTACGGTCGACCGCGAAAGTCTCTTGGCTTTTGGTAAGTTTCTGAACTGCCTCGCGGTCGACCGCGAAAAAGTCACAGTCAACCGCCATTTGTTTTCAACGGTCTTTTTATTTGGGTTCCTGTGCCGTCTGTACACAATCTTGGCATAGTCTGTTGCAAGATTGTTTCTAGGTTTGGGAGATTAGGTTATGAGTTTAAAACAGCTGGCTTCTCCTATTTAAACTCATACCCTCCTTCTTCCTCAGTGTCCCAGATTTTTTAAAATCTTTCAGAGAACGTTTTTTTTACAGAGCTTCATTTTCAAACCAGTTTCTTCCGAATTTTTGTGTTTCACATCCCAGCTTCAGTGTTATCTTCTCTTTGCCATAGGGACATTGTAAAGAGAGGATTCTTACACCATTTCTACTATTTTGAGAGCTTGATCTTGTGTAGATCAATTGTGTGGGAGTGTGATCTAGTGAGACCAACTGTGTAGTGTGAGATCGTGAGGGGATCGCTGTGTAGAAGAAGTTCCGGCTTTCAAACCGGGTTGTGTAGTGGATTTTTCCTCGAGAGTGGGGAGCAGGGACGTAGGTCAGCGGACCGAACCTCGTTAACACATCGCGCGTCACAGGATAACGATTCCTAACTCTATCTCCTCTATATTGATTGCTTTTGGATATTGTGTTTTGCTTGCCTTAATTTTATTGCACAATTATAGCCTTGTGACCCTAATCACCCCCCCTCTAGGGTCCAACAGGTATTTGTTTGGTTTTTGTTTGGATGAGTTCCTTTTATGTTAGATCCATCTACCCAAGTGTAGATCAGGATGAGATATTTATTCTACATGTTTGAGGTTTGGTGTGTTTTCCTTTTGGTTTATTGCTTTCATTCATAGGGTTTGGAATTAGTATTTAGGGAGTCACAATTTAAGATATGGTATATACATGAGGGTTTCCTTGTTTTAATTATTTCGCTCGACGTACTAACTCTCGTGTTGTGGTTTCCTAAATATTAACTTCTAGTTAGAATTTTATGAATGATTTTATATGTATATCTACTAACTCTTTTTTCTATATACTCCTACCCCTTCCCCTGGGGAGAGGTGGAGATGATCTCGCTATAGCACTTTGACGTTCGTTGTTTTCCCTCCTTTCAGGCAGCGAGTCAGGCGCACGGAGAGTCGCAGGTTGATGGGATTTTCTCATAGATTCCATCTAGCTATTTACTATTTAGTAGTTATTTAGAACTCCACAGTTAGTGGATTATGTTCAGACTCTAGACTTGTATTTTATTTTGTAGAGGCTGAGAGCCTTAGTGATATTTTATTTGACTCATTGTACTTAAGGTTTATTTCAGACTCAGAGGTATTTCTACTCTATTTTAATTGGGCTCACTGATGATTATTCTCATGCTTCCTCTGTGTATATCTGGCCTTACTCTATTTCTTTTATTTGCATGTCTGTACCTTTACCTATTTATTATTTTCACTAGAGAGATAGTAATTATGACGGTGAAACATGTCGTAGCATGGTGTTTAGTGCTTGGTAGGTTTGACAATCCGGGTTTTACCTTGGACTGCAGCCTTGTGTGAACCCTGGGGCGTCACAGTTAGCATGTAACTGTGAAAGTATACTCAGACATAATATAAAGTGTATGCCCACTTCGTTTGAACTCTCATACTGAGATATCCTTATCTAATTGGAATCGATCAAACTTTTCATATAAGCCCATAATTAATCTTGAAGCGCGTAGGCAAAATAAAAACCACTTTGTTTGTAAGAAAATATTTAGAAAATTAACATATAAATGGAACAACTAATCTCTTTTCAACAAGCAGAACTAATAATCATCTGTAAAATTATAAATATATTTGGTAAACAAACCATATGTGTGTGAATCCATCGAAAGCCTAAACAAGTAACCCATTCAAGTAATTCATCAAACATCCATCAAATAGATAACATTAACAACAACAAACCCACACACGTACCTAAAAATCAGCAAACTTCAATATATCTAAACAAAGTTCTATATTAAAACCCTTACAAGTAGGAAATCTAAGTCAGACCCCAAATACAAAAGTAAACATAGCACGGAATTACAAGCTGCACATAACAAGAAGTACTGCATGTATGTGAACGAAAGTTGATAGATCACAAAATGACATTAACCAAAAGCCAAGTAATGTTAATCAGAAGCTAAGGGGATGCGGAAGTACAAGCTTGCACATTTCTGGGGGTACAAGCTTCAAGTTACGCATCCACTCGTAAAAGCTGTAGTCGTCAAAATGAAGAAAACTGGCCTTTAGCCACGCTCTCAGATCAGGTGATAACGTACGTAGCTAAGGGAATCTTGCCTCCTGAAATCAGAAAAACAATTGTACTTTTATTAGTTATCCATATCAAAAACTCAAGCTCCATGGTTTTTAGGAAAATTGAAATGTTAATGTTCCCCAAGTATTGGATCTCTAACATAAAAACATTAATGTTAATGTTTCCCGAGTATAGGATCATAAGAACAAACAAAATTTTATTGGTTATCCATAACTAAAAACTATAGCTTCCTGATTTTTAATAAAATTGAAATGCTAATGTTCCCTAAGTATAGGATCAACTTTTATTGGTTGTTCAGGGTTTCCCAGGGTTAATAAGATTTTAACCAAAAAAAGTGCAGGCCTCAAATACATTTGTACAGCCAAAACTTGAAGAGGCTAATGAAGCATACTACAAACTAGGAACCACTTGTCTATTTAAAGTCTAAAGCAATCGTTCCAGATAACATTAGACTTTGTTCATATAAAAATATTAAAGCAATCATGTTTATTTAAAGTCCATCCTCAATATCAGCACAATATTAAAAACCAGTACAAGGAACCACTTGTTTGTACCTGTTCATAAGAAGCTTGTACAGGATCATAAGAACAAACAAAATTTTATTGGTTATCCATAACTAAAAACTATAGCTTCCTGATTTTTAATAAAATTGAAATGCTAATGTTCCCTAAGTATAGGATCAACTTTTATTGGTTGTTCAGGGTTTCCCAGGGTTAATAAGATTTTAACCAAAAAAAGTGCAGGCCTCAAATACATTTGTACAGCCAAAACTTGAAGAGGCTAATGAAGCATACTACAAACTAGGAACCACTTGTCTATTTAAAGTCTAAAGCAATCGTCCCAGATAACATTAGACTTTGTTCATATAAAAATATTAAAGCAATCATGTTTATTTAAAGTCCATCCTCAATATCAGCACAATATTAAAAACCAGTACAAGGAACCACTTGTTTGTACCTGTTCATAACAAATTGAGTAACATCCTTTCCTGAAATGGGAATATACTTGATACTACTCATCCTCCGCCACTAATCGTCCCCTTGATCAGGCCTCGAAGCCTGATGTCGTTGGATCAGACTTCCACTTGAGATCCGACCGGAACGAGATAGCATCGGTGATCGTCGGGAGTTCTTCGTGCTCGAGGAGGCTGAGGAAGAGTAGATTGGCGTCGGCATCGGTGTCGGTGGTCGTGGAGAAGATGAAGCCATAGAGGAGGGGGAGAAGAGGGAGAAGGGGAGGAGAGTGAGAGGAGGATGAGAAAGCCACAGAGGATGAGAAGAAGAAGAAGAAGATAAAAAGAAGGGGTATTTTTGGAATGTATTGTGATGAATTTTCAGGAGAGTGTGAAAAGGAGGCTGAACACATTTTTTAGTGTTTTTTGGGGTTAAAGAGTAATGGAAAAATATAGAGGGGCTGGGTAACACCCCCTTTATTTTTTAGGGCCTAGACACAATTTTCTCTTATTTTTATGGAGAGAAACCTACATATATTCTGAAGCAACGAGAAGCTCTCTCGTCTTTCCTTTGGGAATGAATGATATCTTAATATTACCATCGTAAACTCCCAACCAAAACTCTTAAGCTGTTTGTTTCCATGTATTTGATGAGTTTTATATTGAAAAATAGAACCCATAAGCTTAAACTCTTCGATATTTATCAAATACATTTTTTTTCATGTCATGAGTTTGAATTTGCCTTTTAGGGCATATGTACCAAATGTATATTCATTTCGCCTTTTAGTCACATATCTCTTAATATAATGCTTGTACATCCAAATAAATTTGGTTGGATTTTATCCTTCATGCAAATTCACTTTAGTATCCATAGTAGATAAATAAGATTTTGAGCATGGACTTCTCTCGATTCATAAAATATACCAATATATAATCCACGAACCGAACAACCCAAGAATCAGGGTTATTACTTTATGCTCTACCCATATAAACAATTTTGCCCAATGTATCATGAAGACGTGGGATGAAAATACACACTAGAACATGCATTAAACGTAAACAATCGGACACACGTACAAATGACCCCATTAATACATGTACTATCAGATAAGCAAAATGTAAAACGAAATATCTTTTTGCACTCAAACAATAATGAAGTACTATAAATATCAAGGATAAACCTCAATAACTGATCTTAAACCCAAAATAGGTAAAATCTTGTAGCCTCTAAAACCTGCATCAATGAAAATTTTCTTCCATACTTGTTCAGATCTTTGCTTGCCAGGAGTATGAACCATCATATGAACATCAAAGAAAAATTGTGTCTGAGCTAATTCATGACCAACAATGCTCGAGTCCATAACCATTTCTATTATAATCACTTTACCACCATTTTCCTTCAAAGGAATAGCCTCCTTGCAATTTTTGAGTATTTTCACACATTCTTCATCACTCCAATCATGTAAAACCCACTGCATTAGAAAAGAAAAGGAATAAAGTTTAGAATTGTATTTGAAAAGGAAAAGAATAAAGTTCAGAAAATTTTTATGTTTGAGAAATTTCTTCTATTGAAATTTTTGTAAATATATAGATTATATTGTAAATTTCACAAAGCCCCTTGAAGTTTGTGGTGTTTTTGCGCTAACCCTCTAACCTTTATAAGCCAGAGAAAACCTTGATCTCGCTTATTTAAGTATGAAATAGTGACGAACATAATTAATTCAAGTTGTCATTAAATTTTCATGTGATATATTTGGGTCAATTTTTCCTTTATGTGCTTTATAATTTTTACTGAAGGATAGTGTTTTGGGTCGTGATAGGTAGATGTTATATTTTAAGGCTACTATACACTTCTCATCTTTATGTTAGTGATGTTTATGACATTCTTTTATAGTTTAGAAGGCTTTGTATAATTTAGTGTACGGTAGTTTTCTCTCATTGATCAAATCTAGGGAACTTTAACCGTACAACTTAAGTTGAGACATCATCCTGACAAATTTGGGCTTCACATGACATTATTTTATACCCGGGCCATAAATTTTATTTTCTTATACCAATTGTTAAGGAGAAATGTGATATCAGTGTTACGATGTAATCTGTAAAATAGCTTATATTTGAGTAATAACAAACTCTTATTTTGTATTAATATTTATTTAAGAAGACATATATAGTATAGGTGAATACAAGTATAAGACGTATATGATGCAAAACGACACGAATATCAACACAGACGCTGATTTCAGCAATCTAACAAATAATGGGCGTCAAGAACACATAGATGAGAAAGAGCTCATTGATGGTCCATAGGAACAAATTGTAGATTTTTAGAAAGAGGATTTCAATTTATCGATGGTTTACAGGCACTCAACAATGGTGCTCAGGGACCCATTAATTGTCATGAGAAACCATTAGCGGTGAAGACAGATGATTGCAGATTTAATGATTTTATCACAGTCATTCATTGAGCCTTTCATATCCAACTTCCATTATAATTAGAGTATCTCTTTCCTAATTAATTAGAGGCTACGTAAGATTGAAAGAGATAAATTAAAAGGAGAAAGCTTGAAGAGAGAAATTCTAGGTTTGTTTGAAAAAAGAGTGAATTGGAGTTTAGAACCTCTGAAGCCTCAACAAACTTTTTCTTGTTGCGCTCATCATCTTTGGATCATCTCAGCGAGAAGAGTTGCCCTTAGTTTTATTAGCTACACCATTCTTCATCAATCTTCACTTTGATTCATCAAAGAATGGTTTGTTAATCGAAAAATATTGTAAACTATTTCTTATCTTTTGTGCTTAAACTGTGTTTGTTGATTTATTTCAAACTTAGTTTTACGGCATACTCAAGTCGATTTTAATTGAGGTTGGTACTAACTAGTGCTAGGTATTACTCATTGTGGAGAGTTAGGCTAGACAACTATTTTTTGGTAGATTTCAGGGTGCGGTCTATGTAAGCTTACCGGAACGGGTTGTGATTTAGGAGAACTCTTGGTATAGTAAGAAAGACCCTTTGTTGGAAGGAAGAGTGAATGTAGGATTATTATCTGAACAATTGTAATATCCCATGTGTCCGTAGTTGGTTATTTCTTGATTATATTTTATTTATTTCATTGCTTACACTTTATTTTTAGCAAAAAAGGTAGCAACCCTATTCACCACCCCTCTAGACTTGCATCTCAGATCTAACAAGTGCTATTAGAGCCTTGTTAACCGTCTTTAGGATTCACAGCCTATGGTAGAGATGTCTAGCTTGATCTCCATGATGGCTTTTCCTGAGGAACATGTTGTGAACCGGCCCCAACTTTTTGATGGGATAAAGTATACCTATTGTAAAGCATGTATAAGGGTCTATTTGCTATCTACTAATTATGATGTTTAGAGTAGTGTAGAGAGCAGCTATATTGAATCTATTACTATTGTAGAAGAGGTTACCGTTGTCACTCCTAGAGATAAGTGGACCCCTTCCAACGAAAAACTTTAGTTTTTAAATACAAAACTATGAATACTCTTTATTATTTTTTAATTACTAAAGAATTTAATTTTAAATTATACTACTGTGCAAGAAATCTAAAAAACTCTGGAAGTTACAGACGATAGAACTTCATAGGTAAAAGAGGTGAAACTTATAATGCTGGTGAGAAAGAATGATAATTTCAAGATGAAAGCCATAGAGAGAGTTCATTTTTACGGTCATTGTGAACAAATCAAAAGATTTAGGAAAGAAGTATGATAACAAGAAGTTTGTGAGAAAATTCTTCATTCTCTTCCTAGGGATTAGGAAACAAAGGTAATTGCTATCAAAGAATTATAAATTTTTCTAAATTAACTTTTGAGAATCTTATAGAAATCATGTTATCTCTAAAGTGTGATTAAAAGAGAGAGAAGATAAGTCAGAAGATAACTCGAAGAAGAAGTTGTTAGTTCTAAAGGCCAAAAAGATAAAAGTCCCCATCTAAGAAGAAAAAAAATTAAGCTTGGACTTTGATGGTGGTGACAAGAGTGAAATGTGATTAATATTCAAAGGATTCAAATCTTTTCTAAAGACAAAAGATAAACAAAATATTGTGCACAATAAATGGAATTAGAATTTCTGTAAGGTAAATAAATGGAATTAGAATTTCAATAAGGTAAGGAAAAATAAATATAAAACTTCAGATCTAGAAATTATTTATCATCATTGTAGGACCTAGACATTACAAAAATGATTAACCTCTCAATAAAAGTGACTATAAAGAAAAGAAGAAGAGTTTCAAGGCAACATCGTGCGATTTCTCAAGTGAAGATGATGAATCAGAAAATAACTTAAGCTCGAATAATCAGAGTCACTATATTATAGGCTGTCTAAAAATCATAATAGATAGCTGATTCCTCATCAAACACCGATGATGGAAGTTACAATCTGACGACTTCCAGAAGGCTACAATTTGAAGACTTTCACGTAGATCGATGAAGGTTACAATCTGACGATCTTCACAACAACTAATGAAAGCTATAATCAACAGCCTTCACAATCAACATCGGGAGTTACAAAGATTATAAAATGATGATCTTTGCAACTCTCTGACAGAAAGAGACTACAAATCGACGGTCTCTTCAAACTAAGACGCGGAAGTCCTACCCGCATACCAGCATCAAGACGCACCGCGTTCACAGCCACGGACGCAGCTCAGATCCAGCTGCCAACGCTGCCAACGTAGCTTCCAAATTGCTGCAAACGCAGCTCACGAGTCGCTTCCAACGTTGCAAAACGCAGCTTCCAACGCTGCCAACGCAGCTTCCAAATTGTTGCAAACGCAGCTCACGAGCAGCTTCCAACGCTGCCAACGCAGCTTCCAAATTGCTGCGTCTGAGCTTCCAGATACTGTGTTTGAACGCAGAATTTATGTCAGAATGCGGATTTTACGTTTGACTCGTTCAAACACGAGCTGAACGGTTTCAAAACCATTTCCCATGATCTGAGGGGATCACAACTCCACTCAGGAGTGATTTAAGGGGCGGTTACATCCCATTAGCCCCACTTAGGAGCGAATTAAGGGGGCGGTTAAACCCCTTAATCCCCTATAAATAACTAAGAAATCAACTTAGTTCGGGGCTGGATCTTTCATCCTTTTTTTTTTGGGTAGCATAGAAGAGATCTTGGGGAGAATTGCTGGAGCTTTGGAGATCAGTAATGGGAGCTTTCTTCATCCTTGGCTTATAGACCGATTTTGGTTAAATTAACTCTCTCATAGAGTTTCAAACTCGTTCAGAGTTCTCCACAACGTCAAATCATGAGGAGAAGACCACGTTTCAGTGAATCAAGACGTACGGATCATCAACGGAGAGCAAACTCGACGCGAGCATTCGAGGGAGGCACTCCATCGCCACCGTGAAGAACCCAGAATTAACAAAGGAGAGAATCCATATTAATTCTCCTCTCTTTTGTAATCAGGAAATCCAATTGTAATCAAGATCGAGAGAATACAAATCAATTTTCCTTCGTTTCTTTTACTTCAAATTTTTCCACAAACAAAAGTTGGTGACTCTGCTGGGGAAGAGCCTCTCTGACGAAGAAGTGGTGGCGCAATCTGATGTTCATCTCACTGGAACAACCGTCGAAACTCTTATTATTGAGTTTGATCAAGCCAAGTTTGAGGAGGCTCTCTCATCGGGATCCCTTAGCCCCAAGGCTATGCACAAGATCCACAAAGTCTCCAAGGAGACTAAAACTCCAACTGTTACTCCTATGCCGAAGGAAGCCTTCTCCTTCAACCAAGAATGCTCGAACAGCCCCTCCTCCGAAGGAGTGGGCTCATCTTCGGCCAAACTCGTCCACCGAGTTGAAGGTTCTGCGTTCGTGCCAAAGCAACGTTTCTCGGGTCATGAAAGGCCCATAACGACGACCAACTCTGTCGATGATATCGCTGCAAAGGCCTTAAAACAGGCCAACAAGAACGCCGCTCAACGAAGAAGAAGATCTCGATGATGAGCACAACTCCGAGAAAGTCGATCCTCCAACCAACGCGAGCTTCGCGTTCGTGAGCCTAAACGCAACCATGTGCTTCGCGTTTTTGCTTCAGAATGCCAGCCTCACGTCTATGAGCCCAAACATAGGCTCTGTGTGAATAAGACTGAATGCAACCCTCAGTGGTGTATTGTACAGTCAAAACGCAGCCTTCAGGAGTGTGTTCCATTAACTGAACGCAACTCTCAGGCATGCGTTTCAGAACCAAAAAGCAGATCTTAGGACTGCGTTTCACCAGCAAAACCTGGAGCTCAGGCGTGCGTTCGGGTGACAAAATCTAATACAGAACCTGGTGTATACCATGGAGCGAGACCCCCGAATACTCTGCGTAGCGCGATTAGATCGAGGGGCGGATATAAGAAGTCTTTGGATTCAAGGCATCTCAACCATATCCATGCTCACCAGGAGCCAGTCCCGTCCAATCATGGACTGGGGGTTCCAATTCAAACCTCACGATCAGTGAGTAGTTCT